CGTTTATACAAAACTGAGAACCCTTTGGCCAATGATGCTCCTGACCAAATTTGGTCAAAATCCTCTGAGCCATTCAGGACAAGTAGGATTTTAAAGGAAAAAGTTGACGGACGCCGGAAGAGGGACGACGGACGCTGCACCATGGGATAAGCTCACTTGGCCCTTCGGGCCAGGTGAGCTAAAAAGTGAGAAAATGATAGAAAAAAAAAGTATATCCTCATAATCAGTTTCCACCATGACCCAATTTTTCAATGTCTTGTAATCTTAAAAAGATCACATGTCTTGTAATCTTAAAAATATCACAAGTATAATTTATCATCTTAAATTATTTAAAAAAAAAAAAAAAAATGATATTCTCAAATAAATCTGCATGAAATGTATAATTTAAAAGACATTGATATTTTGAGCATGAGAAAAAAATCAAAAATCTGATATGATTCGAAAATAATTAATTTTCAAATTTTAAGTTAAAATAATTATAAAACTGACAATGCTTTGTCAGCATACATGTCCTAGATTGTAAGGGGATACAAACGAGCAGAGCAGATGTTGGCGTAGGATACTGGACTTATTGAATGTGATTGTCTGTCACTCTTGTCAGTGAAAAACCCTGTCATCTCAGCCCATCGTATCCGGCAAGGTAAAGATAAGGAAAAGAAGAAATTATTGATAATGAAATATTAAAAGATTTCGTAGCTGCATGCCAACAGATACAAAACTTTGCTGAGCTAGACTAACCCTGCGGATAGCTGGGGGAGACCGAGACATCTGGTGGCTCTGATAATCGGGAGGAATTGGCCGTCCTCCCACTCCGATCCGGGCTGTGAGGTGGAGAGATCCCCATAATTAAAACATACACTTGCAACTTATAGAAATGTTCCACTTATCAGCCATGTTCCAGTTGACAGAGAAATCTTAATTATTGAAACAGACATCAATTTACGTTATCTAAGTAGTCAGTTTCAATTGTTATTTTTTTTAATGATAGAAATCCCCGCAATCACCTCGCCGCACAAAATCACTCTTTTCGTTATAATTGGTTTTGTTTTCATTTCATGTACCTGACTTTAGCTTGAAATCATGATTTCTGTAACGTACGCTTTGGATTAAAAAGTTAAACCGAAACCGATGAAAATGATAAAATACAAATTATAAATGGTAAATTTCATGTAATCATCTGTACTTGTGTGAACTATAGAATTTATTTTTATGGAAATACAAAATAACATGTACATGAATGCGCTCAAATTAGAATCAGAATGTAAAGAATCCTTAATTTGATGCAATCAAGACCTCAGCGAATTTGAAATTAATTTCATTAGGCACAAGCAGATGGCCATCTGGTTGAAAATGAGGGAAAGAAAAAAACCCATAATAGGATAAAATTTTCATAATTATCATCAATTTCATCTGAATAGGTATGCAATCCTAATTCTGTCAGCAACTGATTGACAGCGAAAGTGATTCTATAAATATAACTAAAGTGTAAGTTATTATCACGCAGGGAAATGAAAAAGAAAAAGTCATCTTAATTTCATCACAATACTCATTTAATACGTACAGATCTTAATTCTCTCCATAAAACAGATGAGCTCCAAAGAGTGGGGCTGAAATGTCATCAGTTCAATTTAGCGCCGGCATTTTTCCAAGATGTGTGGAAATTGACACTGATTGGCGGGGTGGGCTCAGACTGGCCGATGGTGTATTGACAGGGCGATTTTTCCCCCTGGGAGGGCCCTACTTGTACATTACAACACCGAACAGCTGATTGAGAAAACAATTGGAGTAGAAGATGACACACTTCTGGTACGGGAGATCTGTGTGTACAGATAACTAACAGCCTGGCCAGTAGGCTTTTCCTTTTCCTCTTATTGTGTCCTTGTCAGCCATTTGTTTGTGTTTAGTACAATGTTGGAGTGATGGGGGAGGGGGAGGGGGAAGAAGTGCAGAGGGGTATAATTTACATAGATAGGTGCACTGTATTTTGTGACAGAAGGTATATTGTGCTTTATTTTGACATATATGGGTCTTGTATATTTTGACATATATGGGTCTTGTATATTTTGACATAGAGGGTAGAGGTATATTAAGGCATAGATAGGTGGGGATTGTTTTGACATAGGTGGTAGTGGTGGTGGTGGTGGTGGTGGGGAGGGGGGGGTATATATTTGACACAGATGGGTGGGGTATATTTTAATATAGAGGGTAGGAGTATATTTTAATATAAAGGGTAGCGGTATATTTGACATAGAGAGTAGAGGTTTATTTTGACAAAGATGGGTGTTGTATATTTAGGCATAGAGAGTAGAGGTATATTTTGACATACATGGATGGAGTATATTTTGCCATAAATAGTAGAGGTTTATTTTGACAAAGAGGGTAGGCCTATATTCCGACATAAATGGGCGTTGTATATTTTGACATGGAAAGTAGATATATATTTTGGGGGGATTAGAGGTAGAAAACAATGTGTATGGGATGATGACTGGTTTCAGTTACCATAGTGAGCAGAAAAATGATAATAAAGATCATTGTTAAAATAAACGAGCTGGCAGACAAAAAATGAAAACCCATGACAATGTGGTAGAAAGTAGGCCTATTAATACAGTAATCCTTCAATGTTGGACACTGACCAGTGATGGTCAATCCATCAAATGACCACTGGAAGATCAGGAGTAATGGCTAACGTTAACATCAAGACATTACCTTGCTGCACCAAACACATGGGCTTTAACCCCTAGGTAACTTTAGTAGACTCTACCATACATGGATTTGGATGAGTCTATTATGGTCTACAGTGTTGAAAGGGTTAATATCAAACTTGAGTAATCACACTTCAAGTTGCTGTATATACCCATGCTGCGTTGTATGATTACTGTACATCTCTGGATAATAATCTACACTCAACCTGTTTGAGAAAACCACCTGTTAAAACATGTCCTTCCCTGGTGATCTTTTTGGCTTTGACCCCAGAAAGTATTAAAACACACTTTTTTATTGATGTCAAACGGGGCTCTGAGGACCAGAAACCTGGTTTTCATCGACGCAATATGGTGTCAGTCACACGTACTGAAAGAGTTTGAGACCTGTGTTATGAGACCTCAAGTGTAAAGAACTGTGTCATGAGACCACCTCAACAAAAAAAATCCATTATGGGCATTTCTATGTTAAATGAACTTAAATTGAGAGACCTTCAAAAAGTTGTTAGGTAACAACATTTGTTCAAACATCCAGCTGTCTCCCAACAGTTAGTTTAAATAATTTTAAGCAAATCATATTCATAGTACTATTTCCCAGTCAGCCAATCAGATTTATAGTACTATTTCCCTGTCAGCCAATCAGATTCACAGCACTATTTCCCAGTCAGCCAATCAGATTTATAGTACTATTTCCCTGTCAGCCAATCAGATTCAAAACACTTTTTCCCTCAATGATACCAGTAAAAGAAGCATTATATCAAGCAGATTAATAGTTTTGTTTTTTAAAGTCTTTTCTTTATTGAGAAATAGTATGAGGGAAGAGAGAATATTCTATTAGAAAGGCTCCCTCTGAGTGTGCTGTAGGATTGTGGGCTCTCCAATACCTCATTCTTAGCTAGAAAAGTGAAATCCCCCCATACAAAATCCTCAAAGTCACAAAAAAAAGAATTTCATGACCTCTGCAATGGAATTAGACTACACAACTATACTCAGTACTTACAGATAGGGGCCACAGCTGAGTGGAACACCGGCCTTCTTAACACACCACTGGTCAAACTCAGGCCTGAAAAACAACAAAAATCTTGTAATTAAGTCTTCTCACCACAACACCGGTCAAACTCAGGCCTGAATCACAACAAAAATCTAGTAAGTCTTCTCAACACACCACCAGTCAAACTCAAACTTCTTTATTACATTATTGGTCAATTTCAATACACCGCTGGTCAAAGTCAGGCTTGAAACGCAACCTAAATCTAGTAAGTCTTCTTAGTACACAATCCATCAACGTCGACACACCTTTGGTCAACTTAATCCTGACCAGTCAAACTCAGGTGTGACACACACCAACACTCTCCTAAACACAATACCGGGCAAACTCAGGCCTGAGACATGGAAACACATCCCAGAAACCTGCAAAACACACAGTCAAAATGAAGCCAGAAATGTTCTCCGTTTGTTGTTACAAGCCCATGTGCTCTAATTTAATCCCTCATGCTTTCCCTTTGAAATAGAAATTGTTGATGAAACAATTAGCCTTTTTACTGGTTTTCAAAAAAAATAATTCAAATGAGTTCTTATAACCATCACCAACCTAACTCTTCCAAACCAATCTTTTTTGACAATTAACATTAACTGTACAAAAATATAATTTCCTATTTTTGTTAACAGCTCAGTCTGTCTCTTTCCCTTGGTGACAATTTATATTATCATCTGCATCTTTCATAAGCTTAATTATCAGCATGTCTCATTCAATGCTTAACAAAGGTATGATTTAATCACTCAAAAGATCATGATTTCACCTGTAAACTCTTTTGTTGTGTTCATATGAAAGTGCACAAACCAAGCCAAATCAATGTCTCTTATTTAATTGCTTCTGAACAAATATTTGTATCAGCTTTGAATTCACAATCAACTCATTTTACCAATTAACACAAACCTATTTACTTAAATATGCTAAGTGGTCCGAGTCATATTTGCCTCATATCAAAATTCCAATTAGTCCTGGAGACAATGTGCTTTGTAAATGTGATTTCATTTAAGTGATCATCAGAAATGTGACCTGTGGTCATACATGTATATCTCTTGTACTTTGAAAGAGTATATATATATAGGCCTTAGTTTTAAATCTTCTTAGGTCTTTTAGAAGTGTGATCTATAGGACTACTTGTCCTATATCCCACGTCCTAAAGAAGTGTGACATCTGGTTCTATTTCTAATGTCTTTTAGAAATGTGACCTCTGGTCCTATGTCCTATGTTTTTTTTATAAGTGTGACATCTAGTCCAATGTCCTTAGAAGTGTGACCTCTGGTCCTACATCAAATGTCCTACAGAAGTGTGACCTCTGGTCCTAATTTCTTAGTCCTTAGAAGTGTGACCTATGATCCTTTGTCCCAGGTCCTTAGAGGTGTACGTGACCTCTGGTCCTATGTCCTTAGAAATGTGACTTTTTGTCCCAGGTCCTTAGAAATGTGACCTCTGGTCTTATGTCCTTAGAAGTGTGACTTCTTGTCCTAGGTCCTTAGAAGTGTGACCTCTGGTCCTAAGTCCCAGGTCCTTAGAAATGTGACCTCTGGTCTTATGTCCTTAGAAGTGTGACTTCTTGTCCTATATCCAATGTCCTACAGAAGCATGCCATTTAGTCATAAATCCTATCTATTTGTTATATATGTCAGTTTTTTCATTGAGAACTGATAAAATTATTCTTGATACAATTGCAAAAAGATCAAAAATATTTGAGAAAAAGAAACATCATTTCAACCACTGTCATTCATTACACAAGTAAATAAAAACAATACTGATTATTAATCGATAACTAACTGAATGCTATCATCCGAATACAACCAATTATTGTTCATCAATTTTGCACCAATTCCGTTCATTTTCATCATTTTGCTGCTAGTCTTTATACCCTCCAACTTTTATCAACTGTTGCCACCCCTGAGAACCTTATCTCTAGTACTAATACCAGGTAGTTTCTGCTATACATCAAATGTCTTAGAACACCCCAACAGCATAAACTTTCTTTTTTAAGATTAAACAAACTTGTTAATAGCAAAAAGTCCAAAGCAGACAGAAGGACAGTGGCTATACCTTCATCATCAGAAGTCTGCAAGTTGCGTCTTTGAACTTTTGACTTTGGTCCGTATCAGGTCCAATGATAAAACTGACACCTACGAAGTCCAGGTCCATTTCTCCGTCGCCTGATAACATGGCAGCCAGCCTTTGTGGTATTTTAAACATATTTCTATGAGATTGCAAGACAGATTCCAGACAGATGGATACCCAAAATTACAGAGGATACAGTGCCAAGCAACCTTTTGGGATGTTTTGGACGGTGGCGCCGAGCTTTTTCAGAGTGGCCAGACCTAAGCAGAGGTCTGGAGGGACAAATTTACTCGCTTGACCACAGACAAACCCCGGTCATTAAAGACCAATAGTCAGCCGCCAAAACGTCTGTGGTCGCAGTTAGGAACGGATAATTCTATAAGACAATGCCAGTTGGGCACGGCATACTTTATCTAGCCCTTCGTATCTGACTAAACTCAGTTAAAAGTTGAACAGTGCCAACATGTGGACGGGCCGAAACCTGCTATTTCACCTCATTATGGCAAAGAAAAATGGTTATCTTTTTAATTCGATATTTTTTATCTATCCTCGTATGTATATATCCCAATATAGTCTACCTATACCCATTCTTGCATGTACAGTACTAATACGTTCACATCATGAAACATAAGTTGATAACAAATCCTAACTCGACATGCGGTGGTATTATTTGATAGTCGAAAGCCAAATTCATTTTTCTAAACAACATCAACATGACCCGAGGATGATGGTTCATTCTATAACGGAAGATTGATTGAATATAGATGGAAAGTCTTTTTCTACAGTTACAAAGTTGTCTGCAATTTTTTAGCACCACAAGGGCCGATTTTCATTTTCCATACCTATTATATTTTTGTTTTTCGTTTTTCTAATTTCAGATTTTTCTATTAAACAGCAAAAATTGTTCATGAAAAAATAAACATCTCAAGAGGGTTTATTGACATGGAAATTTTTAATACTGCAAAGGAAAGTAATTAACTTTGTAATTCTAGAGATTCTGAGCATCTGGACCTACAGTAAAGAACCTCTAGATCCGTCTCCTGCTCAAACTCTGATTCTGTGCTCAAATTCTATTTCTTTTTTCCAGGATAAATTTTCAAATTTCATTTTTTTTTCTCTCAAAGATTTGGAGGAAGTCTGGAGAGGTTTGATGCCAAAAGCATTTACAATGTGTAGACTAAAAAAAAATTTCTGTATCGCATGATTTCTTACGAGTTGAACTTTTTTATTTTGAGCACAGGATTCATCGTCGCGCATGAGAATGGTTTCATCAATATGGATCCTGATATTAATACCAGACTATACAATATACAAAAGTCCTCGCATACAAGTTTTGGCAATTACAAGTGACAGAGTATTTGACACATACTCGGACAAAATGATGCACTGACGGACTATAACGAATAGTGTGCTAGCCTTCAGTCCCTATCCAAAGTACCAGTGGAGGACAAGCAAACAGTTTATCAGACCAATAGATTCATAAGAGCAAGGTGGAAGAATTTGATGAAAAACAACATATGTAATTCCCTAGGGCTATAAATTGCATATCTATCTACTGAATTTTAATTACGGATCATTTTATAAACAGACCAATAATCAATTAAACATCGTTAAAGTAAACACAAACTCATTAATTTGCAGATTACATAAAAATTGTGATCCAATACCTTGAACATTTTCAACTCCATCATAATATTAAGATGAAAGAAACAACAACTGTTTAAACAATAGAATTCTTCGCAATACTCATTCAATAGCTCTCAAATATTTATTTTTCCACCGACTTGGGGTCTAACTGTGCAGCCATGAGAAATTCATTGATGACAACAGCCAGAAGACTCCTGTTAAGATCTCTATAATTGATCAGAAATCAATTAATCTATACATACCGGTAAAAAATATGTTTGTTTTTGCGTTGTCAATTTCTTGCACCGAAATCGACGTGGCATGGTTTGAATTGACAAGTCTGGGAAAAGAGCAGTTGTCAGGAGTGTGGCCCCCAAGAGAAATGAGAAACTCATAAAATCAATCCGACCTGTTCGTAATTGTTTTTAACTATTTTTTTGTAAGACATTTTTCATTTTGAAATTCATTCGTTGGAAAATAAAATCAATTAACCTTTTTATTTTTTCAAATTTAAATTTGAACTAAATTCACAATAACATATTGATATGTTCTAAAAAGAATAGAACTTGCTATCCTTCCAAGAAAAGGAACACATATGCAAACTGTTCTCAGCAGCATTTTAAAGTACATTTCCTGGGAAAAATGTATAAATAAATTCCAATAATATATTTTTCTTCTTTTTTCTTCTTCAAATTTTTGTTTACTGTTTTCAACAATTTTACTTAAGAAAATGTAACTATTTATAACATGTTAAAAGTAACGTTTCAAAATAATATGAGTAAACCTTACAATTTGCGAAAGATGAATTGTTAAATAAATCTGGCGCTTTTTTTTTTTCTTCTCCCTCGACCGCTCATTTAACAATATATACTCACATCAGTAGTATGCCAGCGCCATTGGTGATCGGTATCCGAGCCTAATCATTTATCAGTGGAAATTCATCATTATACATGAACAATAATGTCAAGAAATTCAAATAGAACTGTTAAGCATGTTATCTCTGCTGTCAGGACCAGCGATCTGCTCTAACAAGTGCTGATCACAAGAACAGGTGCATTTCACATTGCCCGTAGTTTTTTTTGAGGAAGTGAAATAAAAGAAAATTGATTAAGGGGCTATTTCGACAAGAGTAGATACTGAATTATTGAGGGTATTGCCTCAGATGTGTGAGTTTATTGGATATTGCTTTATGAATAGCCAGCTGCACAATTTTAATTGTGTTCCTACGAAAGGTTCGAAATGTTCTTTTAATCTCGGCTGCAAATCGGCAAGTGTGGAATGTATTCATTTAGGCTCCAACTCTCTGCGACATCTTTATATTTCAATGTCTA